TGGAGTGACTGCGAGCAACAGAGTTTTAATAAACTTAAGTACCAAATTTACTAATTACTAAAACAACAATTTCATATACATCATGTGTGGGCCATTCAGAGCCGACAACATATGGGGTGCCAAGGGGAGAGGTACACGTGTTCCCCCTCCCCTTTCTTTTTCGAAGGATTTTTTTTTTGCAAGAAAATTCTAGATATAGAAAATTTTTTTTTAATTGACGGTTGTGAAACTTCGAAATCCGTGCCATCGATCCTGTCATTTAAATATTAGGAGGATAGTGATGTTTAATGTTCTGTTTTATGATAGGCAGCTTTATTAATACGTATATGTAAACTAGCTGAAAAATAACTAGATTTTAAACTTAGTATTTAAATTTCATGCTCATATAACATCTGAAAATTAAAGTATTTACTGTAGTATAATGTTCTGTTTAAAGATATCTGAAAGTTCTAAAAAAAAGGTATTTGGCTCACAGTTTTTTTTATGATGCGATTTGGTTCACAGTTTTTTTTTATGCTGCAAAAATGTTTAAAAAGCGTTGATAGTCGACGTTAGCTTGTAAATAAACATCTAATATTTTAATAGTATTATATCATTCATATTAATTATAGCACAAATATTTTGTATACTTTCACCTTTCAAAATTTCCAAAACCCAGATTTTGTATGCAAAAGCAATAGTGTACAACCGCCTGACAAACTTTTATGATATTTTTTATTGAGCAGGCCACCTAAAGTCCACAAAACATTTGAAGTGCATCATAGACTTGTTGAAAGTACAAGTCTTACCTTGTTTGAAAGTACATGAGATGGCAACTATCATTTCAATCCTCATAAAAGAATTGTAAAAAAAATCATCTAAACATTTAAAAAAAAAAGTTTTTTTTTAATTATTACAAAAAAAAAAAAAAATGTTAGTTAATGTTAATAACTTCATACATGATTCAAACAACTACGTATGACAGCTTTGTTATCAGAATAAAGTTAAATAGCCGTTTTTTGCTATAAAAATTTTGTTTTGATCTATCCCACCATGGTCTTTTTTTCTAATCATGAAAAAAAAAAAAACGGAACTTCTCTTTTTTTCAAAATAGTAGGGAAAAGTGGGGAGAAGTGCGATGCAGGAGAGGTAGGATATTTAATTAGGAGAGGTAATTAGGAGAGATATTTAATTAGGAGAGGTTAGATTTTTCCCCCTTTATTTAGCAGACATCGTTTTGTTTCCTTGCGTGTGGTTAAAATGTGAGGGGTGGGGTGAGAGTGAATTATGCTAAAGTGAGGGGCGAATTATGCGAAAGGAAAATAATTGATATTTACTTCTCCCCAATTACTAAAATGTAATTTTATTGCGTCCACATTGTTTTTTGGTTTGTGTTCAATTTTGTGTGCAAAAATTTTATAAAGAGATTTTTGCACACATAAATCTTTTCATAGGATTTTTGTTTCCACAGATTCAGTCAAAAAAAAAAATTGAAAAATGTAGAATATGTAAATAAAATAAAATGATACCAGGGGCGGATCCAGCATTTTTTGGTGTTTGAGATAGCTAACTTCCAGACATGGAGCAAACTCCAAACATTTATATGTTTATACTTATATCAAATAAGGATGGTTTGCAAAAATTTGCAATGATTTGAGCCTGGGAACAAAAAAACCCCAAAATTTGAGACGTACCTGCCCCAAACGCGAGAGCAACAAGTTGATAAAATATTTTTTGTACTATTCTCAACAAGACTTACATTTATCCATAAATTTTAAATTCCATAGTAAAATATTTTAGCGCTCAAAAATTATGACCATATAAAAATTGTAACCCCCTCGAATTGAGGGGGATTCAAACTTTACATGGTCATAATTTTTGAACGCTTAAATATTTTACAATGAAATTTAAAATTTATGGATAAATGTAAGTCTTATTGAGAATAGTACAAAAAATATTTTATCAACTTGTTGCTCTCACGTTTGGGGCAGGTACGTCTCAAATTTTGGGGCTTTTTTGTTCCCAGGCTCCAATCATTGCAATTTTTTGCAAACCATCATTATTTGATATAAGTATAAACATATAAATGGTTGGAGTTTGCTCCATGTCTGGAAGTTAGCTATCTCAAACACCAAAAAATGCTGGATCCGCCCCTGGATACTATATATGATAAGAAAAAGTTAAATATAAATTCTATTTATTCGGAAACACAATAAGTAGACATGCTGTCATATTGTTTTTGATTGACAAATTATAAACATGTACTAGTATTTATTTTCTTTCGAAATATTGATTATTTCATCGTTTGGACGATGAATGTTGTTTTGTGGGGTTAATTCGTTTCCAGGTTCTAAGCATGGCAATTTCAATTGCAAATTATTCTCATTTATCACAACAACCAACATTCAAATGTTTTGAGTTGGTAACAGGGGTAGATCTAGCATTATTTGGTCTTTAAGATAGTTAACTTCCAGACATTGGGCAAACTCCAAACATTAATATGTTTATACTTATGTCAAATAAGGATGCTTTTAAGGCAGGGGGCGAAAATTTCTGGGCTTTTTTGTTCCCAGGTTCTACTCATCGTAATTTTTTGCGAAGCATCTTTATTTGACATAAGTATAAACATATAAATGTTTGGAGTTTGTTCCATGTCTGGAAGTTATTTATTTTAAAGACCAAAAAATGCTGGATCCGCCATGGTTGGTACTTTATCTGAAAGGTGCTGGTAACGTCATTCTTATAGCCCAGCGGGCATTTGTTTTTAAAAGTTATTTTCTAAATGTCTTTTAAATGTCTTTTAAATATTCTTACGTAAAGAACATTTAAAAGACGTTTAAAAAACGTTTAAAAGACATTTACAACGTAACTTTTAAAAACAAATGCCCGTAGGGAGGGGTCAGAGCCGGATCAAGGGGGGCTAGTGGGACTATAGCCCTAAGCCCCGCAAATTTAGGGGCCCCCAAAAATTTTAGAGGACCTTTTATTTATTTTTTTAGTCATTTTTAGACTTTGGCCCATAAAAAGGCCTCCAAAAACAAAAATAGCCCCGGGCCCCAAGAAGTCTTAACCCACCACTGATAGGGGTTGTTGGAGATTTTTCTGTTATTCTTATATTATATTTTTAGACTGTAATAAAATTATCAATGAAGTGCAATGAAAATGTGTTCCACGTGTTTCCAATTAAAAAACCTTATATATTTACGCATCTTTAAAGCATAAGTAATACGTTTAAATAGTTAAAATTAAGTTATTTAAATTAGAACATTTTAAGTTTTTAGTTTACCAGCTATTTTTAGTTTAAGTTTTTTTCAACATTTACCAGCCGTGATTAATTTTACGTAAATATAAGTACACATAAAATAAGAAATAAATAAACAAATAAAAGGTCTTAACTTAATAAAACTGTTTAATAACCATTAAATATGGCTGCTGTTTAAAAAAAATGTGCCTTAGAAAAAGAAAAAAATTCCAATTACAAAGACTTATTTAATAAACAACTGCTTTTAATAAATTAATAAAAATGCTTTAAAGCTTCGCACGCTTCAACAGTGGTTTTATTTTTCAAACGTACATAATACACTAACGCGGTGCATTTTTTCCTTCTCAACAGCTGTAGATTTTATAATAAACGCGTTGACGGTTTTCGAAGCTACTTTGTGGGCGCGTAAATTAAATGTGGCTTTTAATTTTTTTTGTCTTTGATCTAAAAAGACTTTTTTATAATTGTAAATATAAGAAGAGTACAACCTAAGAAAGCCTAATACCTCGAAAAAATACAAGCCTAAGAAGGCCGGATAGCTCAGCGATTTAAATATATTTTACTCGATATAATTATTACGGACTTTATTTTTAATAAACTTATTTAAAAAGATAAAAAAAACAAATCATTCATTTATTGAGAAAACTTGAAATAAAAGAACCAATTGCAACGTTAAGTCAGTTTTTAAATTTAGATCAAAAACACTCTATTATTTTCGTTCGAAACCTGATTTAAAAATTATAAATTAGTCATTTAATAAAATGAATTACTTATGACTAATTTAGTAAATCGACTGATTAATTTGCATAATAAATTAATTTATGCAAACTGCAAATATTTATGCGCAGTTGCCATTAATATTAAAACTTTCTAATTGAAAATGAAATATTCAACCAAAAACTACTTTTAATTCTAGACCATTTCATTTGTCTATTTATTTCTAATTATATTAAAAAGTCAAAAAGTTTTGTTGATTAAGTAGCAACCACGCCATTGGAGGTTTATTATAATGTCTTCTCATTCATTCACATAAAGCTTTATATTTTTACTTTTAATTATATATAAACAAAACTGCAAAATAAAATAAAAAAAATTAGCGGGTGTTTAACGGATAGGCTTGTAAAATATTGCTTGAAAATATAGTAGGGTTCATTGCGCGAGAAAACGGTCAAAAACGTGTTTAATATAACATAAAATTACATTGAAATTCTCCTAGAAGAATTCAAGAAGTTTATTGTGTGCATTTGATGAATTATTTTAATTTAAAAAAAAGGGGGAGATAAAAAGTATAATATTGTAAAAAGTTATTTTGCGCAAAGAATACATAAATAAAGTCAATAGTATTCGTCTTTATCCCAGTTTCTTAAAAATTGAGAGTAAATAATCTAGTCATAGTTTAGGCGAAACAGCTGTTTAATATTGATTTACAAAATATAAAGTTTTTAACTTAAATAAAAAAATGCACCTGCCACCCCCTGTAATAAAATAGAATGCAACGATAGGCTAATTCGACTGAATGTTCTATTGTTAAAATCGTTAGTCAGGGAGTTAAAATACAAAATTAGTATATATTTTTATTTATAAATATCTTTTAAAAAAATTTTTATTATACTTTACCTAATTATATATATAATTTTTAACTAAAATTCTTACAAAATAATTTTTTATTATTTGAAATTTTTATATTATTATCTATGAAACATTTTATGTACACCCTGTATGCCATTTATTTTTCATTTTTCTCTTCTTCGGTTCGTTTATTGTTCGTGGTACTTGTGCTGAAGAAACACAATTTTTTTTAAGCGAGAATTTATCACTGAAAGTATTACAAACGTGGCGTCTTCTAAAATTGAAGCAATAATTTTACTCGCGTTTTTTATTTGTCGCCTGAAAAGGTAAAATAATATATTACAGCTGTTAGAATTTGAAATAATGGGCGACTACGGTTGTACAAGTACTGGCAGCAATACTTTTGAACCGTTTGATACCGATATTTACAAAGACAAAACAATTAAATCTCAAGAACTAAACGAAAGTAAAGATAGCGACGAAGGATTTAGTTCTTCCTTTTCTCCTACAAGCGAAAGCTCAAATATTCAAGAGCAAGGAATATCTGCTAATATGCATTTGTGGGGAAGTAGCTCTAATGAAAAAGAGGAACCTTATTTTCTCGGTCATATGCAACAATCAGTTTCTGGAAATATGTCGTATCAAAATGTTAATAACCGTCGACCTATACAAGCGCCTCTTGGTCATGTTAGAAAACCAACCCCGGCTTTATCAACATACCTTGCGTCAAACAAAGCTGTTGCTAACTCTCTCGGAGTGTCTGGTTGGACTGTACAACCACCTCAAAATGTTTCTTCCTGGCCAAGTAGCCAACATCAATCTTCTTTAATAGGAAGTACGCTTGCGAATTCTAACTGGAATAATTCAATTCGTAATGGAATGGTAAATGCTTTTTCAATGCAAGGAAATTCTGTTTCTATGCATCAACAACAACATCAGCAGCAGTCAATTAAAAGCGTTTCACATAATAAATTGAACCCAATGCCTCAAAGTTTACAAAATAATCAATTTTATCAAGCTCAAGCACAACAAGCTATGTTAGCTGCTTCCATTCAAGCCAAAAATTTTAAGAATAGGAATTTTGAGTCTTCACTTTCATTCAACGCAACTCCGGGATTAAATACCATGCAAAACTCAATTTCTAATATGAATTCAGCTCTGGATATGAACATCGTAGATGATATATCTAAACTAACTAATAGTTTTACTAATATGAATACTTCGGACTCAAATAATATAAATGGTTCTCCCGCAAATGGTTTTTACTCGAATAATCAGGTTTGTAGTCATATATATATATATATATATATATATATATATATATATATATATATATATATATATATATATATATATATATATATATATATATGTACACATATTGTTTGTTAATTTTTATCTTTAGTTCATGATGTTAAATTTGCCCTGTAAATTTGTTAGAAAAATATTTGAACCGTTAATGCGTATAAATCAAGCGCCGTTAAAGTTTATTTTTGAAATCCACTATTGAAAAAGATCATTTAGACTTAATTTTTCGCTTGGCTGCGCTCTTAATTGGAAAATGTTATGCGTTATGTTTAAGTATTTTTTCAATCAAAGGTTGTTTTTTTTTTTAAATAAATGATAAATTATAATAATTAAACATAGTTGCATTACACTGTTTATATTTATAGGCGTAAAAACAATTAAAATGTTGATCATTTAAGAATTTAAGCAAAACCTAATCGATACTTAAATTGCTTTTACACCTGTAAAGGTAATTAAAGTATCGATTAGCTTTTGCTTCTTTAACTTTTTAAATCAGACTTTATAATTGTTCGCAAAATATGTTTATTAAAAAAAAAAAAAAAAATTATTTTTATTTAATTTTCATTAATATTTTTAGGAAAGGCGAAATGAAGATATTGTCAAATACTCTTCTCTTGAAAGTCGTTTTCTTGGGGACGTGTTTAAATCCCCTCTTGATAACGATATGATTAGATATGATGGTATATAAAATCTTTAAGTTATAAAGAGTTACAAGTTTTTAAAATTGGCATACTTATTTTATAGTTTTTTTTTTGTGAAGTTTTTAGTTGAATTTTACATTATGTACTGTTACGTTACGTATGTATGTATTACTCTAAATTTTTTTTTAGCATTTATGCAATATGCAAGTAATCAAAAAAAATTTTCACGCTCAAGAGATGGTAAAATTTTTATCTTAAAAATGTCTTTGTTATTTTGCTGTTTTATTAATTATTATTTGGTTAAAAAAATTATTTGAATATACTTTTTTATCGTTATTTATTTATTTTCAGATCAAATAGTTCCTTCTTTGGCTTCTTCGCTTAATGGATCGCCAAGATCTGATCTTGATTGCGGAATTGAACGTTTTTCAAGAAAAGTGTTTGTTGGGGGACTTCCTCCAGATATAGACGAAGGTGATCGGTGTTTAATTATCCTAAATATTAACACAAAGTTGAGTCATAATCCATATCATCTGTCACAGAATAAAAACAAACAATGCCGTAGATATAAATAATTTATAATTTTATAGGTGTTTTTATTATTTTTATAATAGCGGAAAACTTATGTTGAATAATAGTCTTTATATATTTATTTTCATCTTTATAGATGAGATTCACGCTAGCTTTTGTAGATTTGGACCTTTAACTGTTGACTGGCCGCACAAAGCAGAAAGCAAATCTTACTTTCCTCCTAAAGGTATATTTTTGGCGGACTTTTTATTAAAAATTTATTCAAAAAACTATATAAATTCTTAACTATATGTAGCTTGATCAAGTAATAAAAACAAATCTAGTTGACTTTTTTATTTTTGCAATCTGTAATAAAATTATTACGAGTCACATGAATTTTATTCAGGCTACGCTTTTCTATTGTACAAAGATGAGATTTCCGTACAACGACTAATTGATTGTTGTATTATGCAAGATGGTAAACTTTACTTATGCGTATCAAGTCCTACTATTAAGGACAAACCAGTTCAAATAAGACCGTGGAATTTAGCTGATGCCGATTTTGTCATGGACGGCTCACAGCCTTTAGATCCTAGAAAAACTATTTTTGTTGGCGGTGTACCTAGACCTCTGAGAGCAGGTTTTTTTGAAACTTGTTTTAATTTTTTAGTCTAATCTGTATAATTATCTTTTTAGTCACTAAAATACAATTTAATCGAAAATGATAAGTTGCTAAAAAAAGCACTTTTTTAAACAAATTTTATAGCGTTTATTATTTAATATTAATAGTTGAGCTTGCAATGATAATGGACAGATTGTACGGTGGTGTTTGCTACTCCGGAATTGACGTTGATCCTGACTTAAAATATCCTAAAGGAGCTGGAAGAGTTGCGTTTTCAAACCAACAAAGCTATATTGCAGCCATAAGTGCCCGATTTATCCAGCTTCAACATGGCGAAATCGATAAAAGGGTATGTTAATCAATTTATTGTAATGAATTGTATGCAATAACGATTGTACATCTTAAAAAAAATAAAATAAATATACAAAAAAAAGTTTGAAAAAAAGAATGTGACAAAGAAATTGATTTTAAGAAGTCTAAAAGAAATTTTTTTTGAAAAAACTTTTTGTTGTGTTTCAAAACCATATTACCGATTTATTCGTGCAGTTTTACATCAACGCATATTTAACACAATTAACAATTAATCGTTTAAACTCCTTGTTTGTCTTTTTATTAACTAAATTATTACAAATATTCCCTAAGCAGTCGCTATTTCATATACAATAAACGCGTGACGCAAATTTAAAGTTTTAAATAATAAATATTTAACCGCTAAAGTCTTATTTTGTTTAGGTTCATACGAATAGCGTTTTTTTAGTTTATTCGTTCATACGAAAAGCGTTTTTTCAGTTAAGACCAGTTTTTCCCGAGGGGAATGTCCATATGATTAAGATAAAAACCCATTTTTTTGACAATATATACACAATGACAATATATACACAATGACAATATACACTGCAGCTACTAAAAATTATAAATGGCGCATTAGGTAATTTTCGGTATTGTAAGTAGATTTGATTCGTATTGGTGACATTTTATATATTCTTCTAGACATAAAATTATTTTACATGAGCATTGAAAAGCATTTTGTTAATTTTTTGTTAATTGAAAATTCTATTTGTAAATACATTTTTTCTTGATTTCAACATTGTTGAAAATACTTTAGCTTAAGGGTGGTAAGAACTGCCATGAAAAAATGAAGTTTAAAAATTTATGGACAAAGGTTGGGGTGTCAACACTTCAAAGTCTTTAATGTTTAAATAAAGCTAAAAAGTGATTAATTTATAAATGTTTTTAAAAACCTGTTGCCATTAAACCATCTACTTAATAAAAACAATGTTGCAATGACTTATAACAATGTTTCCTTGAATTGTTTTAGGTTGAAGTAAAGCCATATGTACTTGATGATCAAATGTGTGATGAATGTCATGGTGTAAGATGCAATGGAAAATTTGCTCCATTTTTCTGTTCAAATATAACTTGTCTTCAATATTATTGTGAGCAATGTTGGGCTATAATTCATTCCAGACCAGGAAGAGAGTTTCACAAGCCTTTGGTAAAAGAAGGTGGAGACAGACCACGCCAAAGCACTCTTGGTTTTAGATGGTAGCGTTACTTACTATATGTTTTGAAATTTTTATATCCATATTGATTCTCTCATCAAAAAAAAAGTAAATTTATAAATAGTGTAATAAAACTATATATAAACTTTCATAATTTTAGGCCCATAAAAACTTCTCAAATGGCGTCAATACCGTTGCTTCAATAATACCTTAATTTTTTTATTATTATTTTACTGACAATTTTATTATACTTAATCGGAATGTGTAAATATTTTTTTTCATATTATTTCTAAATGCATTTCAGCGAGTTTTTAAAGCTGAAACTTTTACTTGCTTTTTTTGCCAACAACATTGGAATTTATTTACCATTTGAAAGTTGGCTGTTTGTTTCAGTTAAAGAATTATATTTGTTATGTATATATATACATGTATATGTGTTTTATATACATTTATATGCAAGTTACATGTAAGTATGCATATACGTGTATATATTATATACACAAATGCATGTATATAATTCCTTTTTATGTATAGTATTATTTTGCTGTTAATGTTTTTAAACAGTTCTTTTAAACAAAATTTTAAAAATAAAAAAACGTCAACTCCGGTCACTATTTTTTGATGAGCTTTATTTAGCAATCATGGACCTTTTTATTATGTCTAATGATTGAATAATATAAAATTATTTCTTTTTTTAAAAAAAAAAATATATAAAACATGATAAATTTTATAAGTTTAGAATTCTAAGTGATTATTAACATTAATTCAATCATATAAATTATCACTATCTCTTTTAGTTTTTCTACTATTGTTCATTAAATCAGTTTATGTACCTGTCATTTGAGACAGAAGTAATTTATTAGCTTCAAATTTTTTTTGTAAACTCTTTTCTAATTAAAAACCATGTCGTTCTTCAAATATATTTTAAGACATCATTCAGCCACTAAACTTTTTAAAGGTTAAATACCCGCGCTTGTTTTTGGGTGTTGATATATTCTTATTTATTGAATATGTTTGTATTTTAAATGTGTTACCGACGTTACAAATATATATTGTTTTTCTACGACCATGACATTTACTGTTAAGTAAAATTATTTTGCATGCAAATTTTTCAAGTATTGAGAATTTTTGAGTTACTATATATAATATTTTTTGTTACACTTATAGTAGAAACTATTTGGTATTTTTAATATCTTTATTTTCAAATTATTAAACCTACCTTAAAAGAAAAGCTTTTTTTGCTATAAAACCCTTTTTAAGGCTTTATTCTATATTATTTTAAATTGTTTTTATCTAACTTTCCATTTCAAGTGCATTTACATGGAAAGAATTTTCAACATGGTTTATTAAGTTTTTAATAACAATGATAGTTTTTAACGTAGTTTTATGTTATCTTGTCGTTTTGGCAAGATTCCCTATTTTTGGTATTTTACATTTTCTTAGTTATGAAAAAAAAATATTTTATCACTCTACTTTTTTTTGTTTTTGTCATAAAGTTCATTTTTTTTGAAGATGAGAGTTACGACTTCTTTATCGTTTATATAATAGTTGTAATCGTATTGTATTTTATCATTTTTAACTGATTTTTTTTGACGGGTAAATTATGATTTTTTTGAAAAAAATTATGTTTTGTATGCTAAAACTCCCCTTTTTTCATCGTGGCGGTTGTTTTATTTTTTGTTTACGGCAGTGATAAATCCATGCAATGAGCCCGATTATTTTTAATCCTGGGAATCATACGGTACAGCAAAGTTTGAAGATATTGAAATTTCACTAAGTTTATATAACTGAATACTCGTCTAGTTAGCTTTATTGTACATGCTTAGACCACAGGTGTTCCCTATAAGAAAACTGCTTTTGTGACAGCCTAGTTTCTCGTCAAGGGCTCTAATGGAATTTTTATAAATCATGAGGCAGTGGATGATAACCCCTTTTGATATTTAACATATTTCAATATTGTGCTTATTTCAGAGTGGGGAAACAATTTGCAATTTAAGCACAATTGTTCAAAACAACCCAAGAAAACTTTTTATACGGTATAGCAAAATTTAAAATCGAATATTACTTAGTAAGTTTTTTCCCTTTTTTTATCTTGTTTATAAAAGAGTGGTGTAATAACTTTTGCACTCTTTTGCAAATTTTATGATCAACTTTTTTTCAAGAAAAACATTTTTCCTTTCCACCTTTTTTTTTGTTTGTAGGGGAAGGTTGCATAAGATGAGCAGGTTCCTAAGATGGTATAACCTCTTTAACGGTTAACTAATGATTTTTTTGGTTAAGTGTATTCATAAAAGTTCGTCGGTGTTATTTATTTTAATTTATTGGTTGTATAATTAATATCCTTTCATCGTTTTATTGTTAAAAAAATTTACCATCCTCGTCATAATTTTTTAATATTCAATATTTTGTAATTACGTCAGAACGAAACATGACCATCAAAAGTTTATTATATCCTCAATATTTTATGCTTATCTTCTGCTTATTCCATGGGTCATATGAGCTAATACATAAGCTGTTGCCATTCTATTTAAATTATAATAGTACTTGGTTAAGTTGCTTAAGGTTTTGAGCGGCTTTTTTTCATTAAGAAAAATGCGTTTTTTTTTTTAAGTTAATTTCCACTTTAATTTAGTACTTTTTTAGAGATAGGAAAGATTTATTGTTTTTTCTTTTATGGTTGAGATAAATTACTATTTACTATATAGTACTTATTGATACAATTTTTTTTTTTTAATATTTTTTTTGTTACTTTTTTTGAGTTCCATTAAAAAAAGCTTATGAAACTGATTTCAGAAGATGAGATGATTGGGTGTGTTGAAAATAACGCAACTTTTGGTATAAAGATTTTTCTTAAAATGAACTATTAATTTATATTCTTTAGGAAAGAATATAAATGAATAGAAAAGACTAAATTATGATAATCTGCATAAATAAATATAAATATTATAATATTTCGGCTGCAAAAAATAATACACTGTTAACATGCTTAACTTATGCAACGTTCCCCTATACGCTTTTTTTTGACTTTATAACTAATTATAATCAAGTCAGTTCAAAAAGTTTTCTAGATAACTTACTCAATAATCAGATAAAATAATCAGTATAATATACATCTCAATACAGTATTTCAGGGTTACTTTATTTTACTTAAGACTAATTAATGTCAAATAAAGTTTTCTTGAAACCTTTTCAAAGTAAAGATATACAGAAAATCTTATTTAAAAAATATAAAAATGTGAGTAAAAGTCACTCAAGCATGGTGCAGCTTTAAGCATTCAGTAAATTTAGGCTTGCGATTACGAGAGCAATTCTCAAGACTTTCTCACGAGTTGTTATAACAAGTGATCCAAGACCAGCACGCAAAACCTGCGTTACCTTATACTTTTTTATACAGTTTTTTTTTTTAATTCTTTGTTATTATAACCTTTTATTATAAGGCAGAAAACACCACCAACATTTTGCTTTATTTAATAAATACAAAATTTGTTAGTAAAACTACAGGTAATATGTATCTAAAAGATTCTTATCTATGTTATAAAGGCGCGGCCAGCGTAGTTTATTTATTTTGCATGCCCATGATGCCAAGGCGTGAACACATTTACTTCGTAGTTTTCGTGTATTTTTGAGGGGTTCGTAGAACAAACAGTTAAATTAAAAATTTAGCTATGCTAGAAACTCTGTACCATTAGTAAAAATTTTAGATAATTAAAATATAATTCATGCCCGTTAAATTTTTTTTTTTTTAATTATTAAAACTTGTTTGATTGTGTTATGAACAACCTAGCGTAATAGTTTTATAAAGCTTTTTTAAAATTTTATGTAATTTAAGTTTAAAATATTAGAGATAGGCGCATTTATATTGTCATTATGAATGCGATGTTAGTTCCCAATTTACTTATTTTAAATTAGAGTGTTTCGAACCGGGATTTTTTCTAAATACAACGACGAATTTTCGAAAACGCACTTTTCTTTAACATAAACTGTTTGATTTCCGAACCTTCCAAATTTCATAGGTTTTTAAAAGTTTTTGTAAAGTATCAAGCTCTGATTTCAGGGCCGACGACATGGGTTTTAAAGTGGGGGGCGGGGCGCAATCATCAAATTTGTGAAAAAAGTCCTCTATATCAAGATTTTTCTTCACAAAAAAATAAAAAAAAGGTTATAATAATAAAAACGACACAGTGTTGTCGGCCCTGGTTCTAATATATTTTCCTTCAAATACTTTTGGTCTGGCTTTTTTTGTTCTCATATATACACGACGTTTACAAACTTTTAAAAAAATTATCGCCTTTCGAAAAAGTTGTTGTCATTTTAGCATTTTTAACAATTCTGAAAATTTTTTGCTCCTTTACTTTTACAAAACATGTTCAGCATTAAAAATTTTTTGGAAAACAAAATAAAAATTTTTTAATCAGACTTAAATAATTTTACTAAACTCGGGTTAGTAGTTTTAAGATAAAAACATGATTTTCAATATGATTATGATTTCAATATGATAAAAGTGAAAAAAATAAACTTAAAGTCGGTTGTATCCCCATGGATGACCAAAGGCCTACTAAAATCATCAAGGAAAAAACAAAAATTGTATGATAATATATTTAAAAAATAAAACTTATAAAGATGAAACTTATTACAAAAAATATAAAAATTTATTTAAAAAAACTAAAAAGCGATCAAAAGTAAATTACTATGCTAAACTGCTTGAAAAAAAACAAAGGAAACCCTCAAAAAAACGTGGAGTGTTATTAGAGACTTAATTGGGAAAAATAAAATTGAAAAAAACAACTTATCGCAAAAACTTATTATTGAGGGAAAAATGATTTATCATAAAGAAGTTATTATTGAGAAATTAAACAATTATTTTTTTGATGTTGGCCCAAACCTAGCAGCGAAAATTCCAGTTGGTCAAAAAAAATTTAATTCGCAACAACTGATTTAATTATGGAAGAACCGATTTTAACCAAAAGTGAACTACATACTGCTTTTAATAGTCTGAAAAAAATTAATGTGCAGGTATAGATCAAATTAATATTAATGTAATTAAATCTGTTTTTGATATTATCGAACCCTCATTATTCCATATTTTTAATCTCTCCTTTAAATCAGGTCATATTTCAGATAAACTAAAAATTGCAAAAATAACACCTATTTTCAAATCTGGCGATGAGACCAATATTTCAAACTACAGACCAATCTCAGTCTTACCCTGCTTTTCTAAACTAATTGAACGCATTATGTACAACAGACTTTAAAAATATCTATCTGAAAA